TAGAGTTTCTCTGGTTTACGGGTCTACATTTTGTGTGGCTCTTGATAAAATTATTATTATTATTAGCTTTTTTATCCTTCCCTCTCCTCCTTTCTCCTTTTCTCTCGTTATTGCTTCCCCCTTTTTATACGTTTATGCATCTACTGTGTGCCTGGCATTGCTTTCACACTTTCTGTTTATAGGAGAGGGGAGGAACAACATCATGGTTTTTAAGCATGTTCTGTGAACCAACCTCATTTGATCCCCATCGTGACCTGGAGAAGTGGCTGCTCTGACAGTCCCCATTTTACAGATGAGGAAAGTGGGATCTGGAGGTACAGGCCTCCTCCAAAGTCTCTGCTTCCAGAGACCCTCTCAGGGGCTAGAAGTGCATCCCAAGGCTGCCCACAGAAGGAGGCTCATGAGATTTCGCCTTCTCCTCTTTCAGAAATGGCCGAGCGACACAACACCAAGCAAGTCCTGAAGCTGGCCCGGGACCTCGTGTACAAGGTTCAGACTCTGATTGAGAACAAGTGAGGGGCACCTCACCCAAGCAGTGCCAGCGAGCCGCCCCCTGCCCGTCCTCTGCCCTCTTTACTTCCCTGCCGGAGGGCTATCCCTGAAGCCAGGGCCTGTTCAAGTGCACTGACTTCTGTGCGAGAGAAACTATCCTGACTTTGGTTGCTGGGCGGAGTGGGGTCAAGGGGGTGTCCCTTAGTTCAGCCTTATACGTTCTGCTGTTTGACCAAAGATTGCCTGCAAATGTCTTGGCATTTCTCCCTTGTGGGAGCTGGGGGTTGTTGGTGCCGTTTCTGGATTCCAAAAGGATGTCCTTTTCTTTCTCCATCCTTCCAAGCTGTCTGGTCAGATGAGACTTTGGGATGGAATTTTTGTTTTGAAATTAGTGTAGAAGAAGTCTATGGGACCATCTCTGCACTCTGAAAGGGGCCTTGGGAAATGTTCCAGAACATGGCCACAGACTGGCTCTGAGCAGGGTCTCTCCCCGGCAGTATTACTGACATTTGGGGCAGGTGATTATTTTGAGGGGGACTTTCCTGTGTATTGTAGGATGTTGAGCAGCCCCCCTGACCTCTACCTACAAGATGCCAGTTGCACCATCCCCTATCCCTACCCCTGGTTGTAACAACAACAAAAAAATGTCTCTAGACATTGCCAGATGTCCCCTGCAGGGCACAGTTGCCCCTATTTGAGAACCACTGACTTAGAGGAAGGCTACAAATGTACCTTCCTCCCCACTGTCTTTGGGACCTGCACAAAGAGGTCAAGGCAGAATCCACATCCTGCTGCCTTTGTCCAAGGGAGGGCCTCACCTCTTCTTCTACATACTGAGTCTCAGAAAGGCATTTGTTTGGTGAAAGCTTCTTGATCAAGAAGGCCGGCTTTTCTCTAAGCTTACTCAGGACAAAGAAGGAAAAGGCAGGCAGAGGTCAGCCAGGGTAGAGTGTGGTATGTTTTCCTTAGGAAACACCTGCTGAGGAACTGGGGCCAGGGCATGGCTAAATCTGGGAACAGCCATCTCCACATCTTCAGAGAGTCACCAATCCAAAAACAGGCTGCACATGAACTAGTTTACTCTTTCTGCCTGCCTCTCCCTTTAAGAGAGCAGTCTAGACAATTCCTCTGTTCTGAGAATGGACCCAGAATGGGAGGAAACAGTGAACACCAGGGGGGAGGGTCTTTCCCAATAGACCTGCTCCCTCTAGGGTGCTGAAAGAACGTCAGGTAGGACTTTGGAGAGGGGATGAGATAGGAAATGCAGCCTCCTGAGGTGTTTAAGGGGCCTGTTAGTCTTCCCACCCAGAGCAAACCAGGGTGGAAGGCATCCCTGCCCTGTGTGCTTGTCAAGCTTTCTCTCTGCTGCAGCAACTGCAGCTTTGTCTGAACTCCCAGCCTCTGCCCTGAGTGGTGCAGATGGACAGAGGCCAAGTCAGACCTTGCTGGAAGAGAACTCCCTCCATGGGAGACTTGAAGTTACAATAATCTCACCAGTCCCAGTTCTCTTAGTCAACGTCCTTGCTGCTGTTACAGTTGCATCTGCCCACCCTGGCCCCCCAGCTTCCCCAAATAGGAAGAAATGTGCAGAAGGCCCCTGGAGATGAAGTCTTATTTTGCCACTGAGCAGTTCCCTACAGAGGATGTTATTTTAGCAAGACCCAAGTCCCAGACCTTCTGATTCTTCATTTATTTTTTTAACAGACAGACTAGTTAGACTAGTCTAACTAGTTTCACAGTACAGCACAAGATGACTTCTCTGCCTTTTCTTGTGGTGTTCTGAAGAGCATCTGTGGTTGTGATTTGGAATAATTCGTATATATTTTGTTTATCGTGCTTATTCAGATCTTTGTACATTGTGTGTGTCTGTGTCCTGGAATTGGATGCGTGGGAGTTGTTCTGTATATGCAGTGCCCTCTTTTTTTCCAGTATGGCCCACATATCCTGTAAATGTTTACTGAGGAGTTGTGTCTATATAGAGAGAAATATATATAAACAGAAATATGTGAATCTGCTTTTTTTGTTTGTTTCATTATTGGGGGGTTTTCTTAAATTTTTTTTTAATTGGAAAGAAAGAAATGTTTGCTTCTGAAGACTATGTTATTGCTCTTCCACCTGCATGACCCCAGATGGGGTCAGCTTCTCATGACAGTTGCCTGGCCTTTCCCCAGAAAGGTGAATCACTCCACATCCCTTGTACCAGTCAGCCGGTACCACAAGTGATGCCGCATGACAAACCACCCAAAACACAGTGGTTTAAAATAGTCATTTCTTTACCTCATGATTCTATGGGTTAAAAGTCTGGGCTGAGTTCAGTTGGGAGGTTCTTCTGGTCTCAGACGGACTCCTTCATGTGTCTGTGGTCAACTGATGGACAGATAGGCATCTCCACTTCTGATGGCTATTGGCTGGGCCAGTGGAGGAAACTAGATCATGTGACTCTCATCCTCCTGCAGGCTAGCTTTGGCCTGTTTGCATGGCTTTGATGGCAAATGGTATGAAAGGAAGCAGAAACAGGCACTGCCTCTTATTATCCCAGCCTCGCTGGCATAAAGTCATTACTGCCACATTCTGTTGGTCAGAGTAAGTCACATAACTGAGCCTAGAATTAGAGGTGGGAAAAAAGATTCCTCTTCCTAATAAGGGGCTTTCAAAGATGACATTGAAAAGGAACATAGATACAAGCAGGGAAATAATTGAGGCCACTTTTGCAAACTGTCTTCCACATCCCCCAAGGTCTAGTACCATGGAAGTCCCCAGTCAGTCTGTCATTTGACATGGGAGTGTACCTTTAAGTAACGCCTCTCTGCATCCTGACTGCTGAGCTAGCTCATCTCTCACCTCTGATGTTCCCACAGACTACACACCCATCTGCCAGGCATCTCTGGTTCTCACTCATGGCTGCCATTCAGAACCACAGTCATCAGGCAATGGGGACCTTTGCATGGATCTTCACCTCCAGAAATTTCTAAACATAGCCAGAAACATCTGGTTTTCAACTAAAAAAATAAAGCTTGAATTATTTATTTATTTATCTATTTTTGGCCGGGGCTGGGTTTGAACCCGCCACCCCCGACATATGGGACCGGCTCCCTACCATTTTTAGCCACCGGAGCCACCCTAAAGCTTGATTTAATCTAATGAGCACCCATCAAAACTTCAGGTTATATATAGAGAAAGTTGGATTTCCAAACTAAGCCTACAAAGTAGCAGAGGAATTTACAGATGACATCATGTACCTGGCTGTGCGCCATCACTGCTTTCTTGGAAGATTCCTAGCAGAGTGAGTGTGAAGCCACTGACAGAAGCAGCCCCGTGGGATTTGCCTTTGTCTTTTTTCCAGCCCATTTGGGGGCTCTCTTAGTTGAAAGGTTTGCTTCTTCCTGAGGGAAGTTTCTCAGAAGAAAGACAGGTCCTGGTGTTCCGACTGCGCTTTGAGGTCCCCAGTCTCATTTCTCTGACTTAATCCTTAACTCGGTCCATGTGGCCCTCTTTCTGGAGGATTCCACTATGGCTTACAGCCACCTAGCACTGCCAGACCCCGGGGAACATCAGAGCACCTGTCGTGTGTGCACAAATGGCTGGTTACATGCACTGTTGACCTCTGGTCATTGACAATGTATTTTACAGGGAAAAATCCCAAGAGAACATTTTTGCTTTTTGTCAAGATTTTCCTAAACATGTGCATCTGAACTAGATGTGACAAGATAAATCTTGAATCACGAGGCATGCTTTCATGACCCAGTGGAGATAGAGTGGTCTTGGTCCTGTGCATGCATGCAGTCTGCATCATGGCCACCATTGCCTACCCTCTTCCTGCTCTTCCTTCTCCCCCTGCTTCTGCTTCTCCTTGTAGCAAAGAGCACTTGAATAGAGTCTTGTGCCCACATTTTCTACCTGAATTGTGCTGATTTTTTTTTTTTGTTTTTTTTGAGACAGTCTCACTATGTCACCCTTGGTAGAGTGCTGTGGCGTCACAGTTCACAGCAATCTCAAACTCTTGGGCTTAAGTGATTCTCTTGCCTCAGCCTCCCAAGTAGCTGGGACTATAGGCGCCTGCCACAATGCCCTGCTGTTTTTTGTTGTACTTGTCATTGTTGATTAGCTGGCCCAGGGCCAATTTTTTTTTCAGTGCCTTTCTTCCTTTTGTCAATATTTCCTTTTACTCCCTCTTCTTTCTCTTTTTTCTTTCTTTTTAAATTTTTTTTTCCCTTCTTGCTCTTCAATCTTCTCATCCTTCTGGTCTTGTACCAAAACGACTGATTAAAACTTTAGGCCAGCAGCACAGTAACTTAAAGAGCAAGAAGAAACGAAAGGAAAATTAGGGTAAGGAATCAGATACAAGAAAACACTCATGAAGAATCAGCAGAAAAATCCTGGTAACATAAAATACCAGTCCAGAGTAGCCCCTTCTAGGGATTGTGAGGTAGCTACAGCAGAGGATTCCTCCCATAAAGAAATGTTAGAAATGACAGCAGGGAAATATAAAATACAGATGATGAAAACAATGAGGGAAATTATTATTAAGCCATATTCTTTCATTGTCTTTCTTCCCTTCTCCCCTCTCTCCTCTCCCAGGCATCCAGGGGTAAGGGAGGTGAGGGTGTAGTCAGGAACAGTGGTGGGAAACAATTTAGTTTGGGTTGGTTTTTATGATTTTGGTTTTTAAGAGACCGAGTCTACTTTGTCACTCAGGCTGGAGTGCAGTGATACTTACTGTAACCTCAAACTCCTGGGCGTAAGTGATCTTCCTGCCTCTGCCTCTGCCTCCCACATAGCTGGGACTACATGTGCAATCACCCCTGGCTAGTTTTTATTATTTTTTTTATAGAGATGGGAGTCTCACTATCTTGGCCAGGTTGGACTCAAATTCCTGGCCTCACATGTCAGCTTGGAAAAGTGCTGGGACTACAGGTGTCTAGAAGGAGATTTTCTTCTCTTCTTATCAGATACTCTTTTGAATTTGATGGATATTAGACCCATTAACCAAGGGAGGCTTTCTTCTTCTTGGAGGACTTAAAGGAGAATTAAAATAAAAATGACTTTCTCACTGCCCTAACTAAAATGTCATTTATCTCTGTCCACATATTTGGTGAGCCATGATTTAGGATTCCAAATCTGCTGTAGATGGCTGTGTGGCCTTGGGCAAGTGACTTTACTTCTCTGAGCCTAAGTTTTCACTTCCGTGAAATGGGGATAATGATCCCATGTTCTGGATTTACCTCTAAGCCCCCTTTTTCTGGGAAACCCTCTGTCCCTCAGCAACACTGGGGAAACAGTTGGAAACCCATTTCCCACAGTTCCCATCTCGGTTCTCTGGTGAGTCTTTGAAACTACAGAGAACTCAGAAGGGGATGAGCGTGGAGCCCTGCAAGGCTGTGTCTTGAAGAAACACTGGAGTTAGGTGTGGTAAGGCCATCAATTCTTGGCAAGAGCAGCATCCATGCTCAGTCTGCAGTTTGATTCTGATTCTGCTGAGTCAGGAAAGGGCCCCAGGTCTCCTTTTTTTTTTTGTTATTTTCAAGCCACTGGGTACATTAATAGCTTGCTCCCAGAACAGACACAGACTGTAGAGCAGTGATTTTCCACTGGTGTGCCACGGTCCGCTGGTGTGCTGTGAGAGCTTCTTAGATGTGCCTTGAAATGTTTTAAAGATCATTAAATTATTTTTGAAAAAAGTTCAAAGCACAATAAGTACATTTTCTTTTCTTACTCTTTTTTTGGATCAACATAATTTAAGTGTGCCATAGAAGTTTAACTATGGGTTCAAGTGTGCTGTAAGATAAAAAAAAGTTGAAAAACACTGCTCCAGAGGAACACAATCTGAGGCTCTTTAAAGTGCCAACTTGATAATCCATTTCTGACTGTCAGCCTAGCAGAATTCCAGTAGCTAACAGGAGCGTGCAGTTCTGGACACTTTCCATTACATTAGGACACAGTAGAAGAAATCTCCACTATCTTCCTAGCCTTCTTTTTTTCAGATTTGTGAGCACAATGATTTCTAGACGTTGTAGGTACAGGGCTCCTGTCAAACAACAGGTGTCTCTTGTTTTTATGAAAAGAAGATAATAGAAAAATGTCTCTGTCTCTACCAAATAAAGATGGAGTCTTTCTGTAAATGATTTTGCTTTGTGGGTTAGAGAATCCCTCCTTTTGGCATTGGTGAAACAGTTCAAATGGAAAATTCAGGAACTTGGGGGCCATTACAGGAGAAGCAGCAGCACATACCAAATGCCAACAGGTGACCATAGCCTGAGTTTGGGCTCCTACTTGGTGGCTTTCATTTGCTGTTCTTTGTTCTGGAAACTTCCTAGGGCTCAAGGAACAGTCCCTCATGAGACTGATTTGTACTGAGATGCTTCTTATGACACTCCAAATGAACTTCAGTGTTTTTAATCCATTTGAACACTGTGTGGTGGCTTCCTGGGTTTTCTATTACTTTACAAAAAGAAAAAACCTCAGTTTTTCTTATTATTCTTTCTGAAAGATAAATACAAGGTGCTTTCTCGGTTATCTGTATATCTTCAGAGTAATAGAATCACTCTTGGGGGTGTTTATGGATATTCTTGGGTGAGCATTTGAAGCCAAAAAGAGTTTGATGAAGGTGGGCTGGGTGTGTGGGGCAGAGAGAGCAATCCAGGTGTTCTTCTGCTGGGTTCACATCCCAGATGTTCCATTGATCTGCTGTGTGGCCTAGGGCAAAAGACTTTACCTCTCTGAGCCTCAATTTTCACTCCTGTGAAATAGGGATAATAAAGCCTCCCTTAAAGAAATAGCTGGCCATTGACTGCTTCTGTCTGCTTAGCATCCTTCCTCAATTCTGGTACCAGCAACCACTTTCCCCCATCCTTTAGGAAACTCTACCTACTACTAGTGAGACTGCTGGCATGCATCTCCCTGTCAGCGATGGGCACGTGCCCCAGTGCTGGGCAGTCAGGCTCCTTATATGATTATGTACCAGAATAGGAAAGGGAAGTTGACTCTTTCTTCTAGGGCAGCTAAGCTAGAGGGGGGTCAGGCTGGAGCTTCCTGTGATCATGTCTCCTGCAAGGAAGAGGTCAGGAATGGCTGGATCCAGGTGTTCAAATGCAGTCCTTAGAGTTCCATCCCATGGTTCTGCTCTCCTGCATGCTGGCATGCTGGCTTCCAAAGGGCCTGTGAATCAATCATTCTGACCAGGACTGAATGTCCCGGAGGGTTCATTTGTCCACCTTAAAGACCTTGGTGGCTAGAGAATAACCCTGAGGGAAGCCTGGGACTTCTAAAGGAGGGCAGTGGGTCAAGACAGGCAAAACTAACAAGTGGACTACAACATTCTTGGCAGACAAAGCAGTATGTGCAAAGATACAGAGGTGTCAAGAGACATCCCAAAGCTCAGTGGATTGTGGCTGAAGGAAGTGGCACAGGGGTTGGGTGGTGACAAGAAAGAGGCTGAAGAGAGTGGCTGGAACTGGACTGTAAAGAGATTCATGTGTCCCGACTAAAAGTTTCCATATCATTGGGATTATTTGCTCTTAACTTCCTCACCACCACCCCTTTCCAACACTGGCACAAAGTCTTGTACTTAGAGACACTTACTAATTGATGGGGAAATAATAGTTTTCAAATTCTCCAAGAAAAGGGGGAATTATAAAAAGGAAAGGAAGATAAAGAGTATGTGCACATTCCTATTAAAAGATTTAATAATTAGCCAGACATGATGACACATGCCTGTAGTCCCAGCTGAATCCTTACTGAGGAGGCTCAGTCAGGAGGATCATTTGAACCCAGGAGTCTGAGGTTGCAGTGAACTGTGATGATGCCACTGGACTCTCGCCCAGGACAACAGAGCAATATTCTGTCTAAAATAAAATAAAGTAATAAGATAAAATATTTAGTATTTAAGTGACAACCGCATACTCAGAATTGGCCTAGACACTTTTTATAAATACATTTAACTCCCACCACAACCCTGTGAGGTAGAGATTATAATAATAGTAGCTAACATTTATTGAGTGTTGTGTGCCAGACATGGTGTGAAGTGCTTTATTTATATAAAGAAACTCAAGTTAATTCTCAGAACAACCTCATGAGATAGGCATTATTTCAACTTTCATTTTATAGAAGGTAGAAACCAGGGTCCAGAGAGGTGAAGGATCTTGCCTGAGGTTACACCGCAAGGAAGCAGTAGGGGTGGGATTTGAGACTAGCTATGTGACGATTTCATACAACTCTAGATTGCACTCTTTTTGCTTCTCCTGGGAGATTTTTATTTGTTCATTTCTGGCACAAGGATGATTCTCTCCGTGTCACTGGAGAAGAAGATGGTCATCCCCTGGATGCTGGTCATGGTCACACGAGGCCAACTGATCACAGGCAGGAGGCTAGCCAGGATTGCATTGAAGATGGCAGTCACATAGCCCCAGCCTGGTTGGCACCTCCCACCATGGTATGCGGAGGAGCCTTCACAGACTGCTTTGGCAAATGGGGACGCCAGGCTGACTGGGAAAACCAGCAGGCCTGCAATGGTGGCAGTGGCTGGAAATGGCAGGAAGGAAAGCCACTATGTTGTCAGTCAAAGGGCACCAGACTAACCTTCCATCCCAGGATTCACTCATCCACCCATTAACGACCCCTCTATCTACCTCCCCATCCATTCATTCGCTTATTTAGGGGCTCATCTCGCCTTCAATCCACTTATTCACTCAACTACCCTTCAACCCACTTGTCTATCGACTCATCCATTCATTCAACCATAATGAATCCACTTCTCTCCATTTCTCCACCCACCTATCTGGTCATTCATCCATCCATCTATCCATCTGCCCACTTAGCCACTTGACCCCCACTGAATCTTCCATGTATCCAGTGATTTTCTAATCTACCCATCTTCCCTATCCACCCACCACCCATGTGCTAAAATATCCATCTATCCATCCATCAGCTTATCCACTACTTATCAACCCACCTGTCCATCCATCCATTCATTCTTCAAAAGTATAGAGGTACTGTAGTGGGCATTAACGATACTAATGAAGTGAACCAGACACCTTCTTCCCTCAAGGCACTCCCAGTGGTACAGAAGAGTCAGATGCCCCACAGCCTCCCTAGATGTCTCCAGCCACACTGGCCCACTTTCAGTTCCCTGTATATGTCTTGGTCTCTTGTCTCCCTGCCTCTGCCCCTGATCTTACCATTACCTGAAATGCCCTTGTCCTCTGGTTAACTTCTACCCATCTTTCCACACTCAGGTCAAGAGGTACCTCCTTGAGGAAGCTTGCCTCAACATGCTGCATGCACTGAGTCAGATGCCTCCTGGAGTTTTTCTTAGCACCTATGGTGCTCACCCACATTGTTCCAAATATCCAGTGAGTTGTAACTACCTAATCCTCCCAAGTCCTGCCAACTAGACACTAGACAAACAAGCTTAGCGCAAGGACCATATCTCCACCCATTGACTCAGCAAATTCCAGTGACTTGGAATTAGGGGCTATCTAAGATGTGTGGAGCACCGTGCTAGGCCCTGGTGATAACAAGGCACATAGACATGTCCTTACTCTCATGGAGCTGACATTTAGTGGGAAAGATTGGACAAAAATCAAGTAGGCAGATATTTCAGGTAAGTAAGATATGCTGCAAAAATATATGAAGCAAGGTAAGAGGATGGAGATCATAAGGAGAGGGAAGCTCCCTTCACTAGAGGTCATGGAAGGCCCCCATGGAGGCAGTGATATCTGAGCAGTGCCCTTAACAAAGTGGGGTGTGAGATATGAGAAGATCTGGGGAAAGAGAAATCCAGGCAGAGGGAGGAAACATGGGGTGTGTGAGCAACAGAGCAAACCAGGATGGCTGGAACACACTGAGCCTGGCAGAGTGGGGGAGATGCGGATGGAGAGGGAATGGGGGCAGGATCATGTGAGCCATCATAGGCCAGGTAAAAGAGTTTAGGTTTTATTCTCAGGGTGATGGGAAGCCACTGGAGGGTGGATAAGTTGAGCTGACTAGCATGATCTGATTTCAGTTTCCAGTGTGTGGCAGACAGACGCCAGGGGGAAAGGGGGGCAGCAGAGAGACCCGTGTGGATTATTGCTGTAATCCAGGTGAGAGAATTAATTGAATGAGGGTTGCAATCAAGACCTAGGCCACCACATCCAAAAGCTATGTGTGAGTTAGAGAAAGGCACCTTAGGCTCACAGTTTAGTAAGTAGAGCATGGGCAAGACTTGAGCATCTCCTTAGCTCTTGGATGTGCATCTTTGTGTATCTGCCCGCCCAACCATGGTGGCCCAGGGGGGTCAGATTATTAGGACTGAGTTGGGTAAGGGGACGAGAGGGTGGCATTAGGATGCCATCTCTTCTTTCCCTCAATTTCTGGCTTGCTACAGGACCAAGATAGTTGACAATCCTAGGATTTATCTCTGAGGTCTGACCCAGAAGTCCAGACTCTGCTCATAGGCTCATTCATTCACTCATTCATTCCATATGTCGATAGCACTTAAATATGTGCCAGTGTATTTACCTGCTGCTGCCTGCACCCCTGGCATTGGGCCACTGACCCTGCTTGGACACAGCCCTTTGGGGGCCATGGCCCATGACAGGAGGAGAATTGCATTGAAGGCCAACAGGAGCCAGCCTCCAAGAAGCATCACAGCTGAGACCTGCTGGGGAGAAATAAGAGGAAGGGTTTTGGCTGGGACAGGGGCCAGTGGATGCTGCCTCTGCCTCTTAAATGACCAGCATCTGAGTCCTCATAACATCCCCATGAGGTCTATGCTATTATTATAACCATTTTACATATAAACAAACAGAGGCCCATGAAATTGTCATCATTTGCCTAAGAATACACAGCTAGTTAAATGGTAGAACCAGAATTAAGATCCAGGTTGACTGGCTACCATACCATAACTTTAGTAAGTACTTGCTACAGGTCAGGATCACCAGGAAAGGCAGCTGGTGGGTGCTGACTTTGCAATGATCAATTTTGAAGGCTGTACATTCTTCCTTAGAGGTACCGAACTAGGAGTCCTTACCTGTTTTCCCCATTGTTGCTCTTGGTAACATGCATCACAACAGGGACTTTAACACCTTAGCTTTCATTTCTAAACCTAACAGTGCTTAGAGCGGTGGCCACGTAGGTGTGTGCAGGTTATACACTGCACGACTCTAAGAGACACCTTTGGGGTTATCACAGATTTGCATACTGATTCTAGCTATTTTCTAGCAGATGACAGTATGGTGTCCTGAAGAAGGGGTGCTATTTCCTATGCACAGAGGTGCTATATAGGCAAGTGACTGCCTTGGGAATCCAGGTGGAGCCCAGAACTTGGCATTTTTTCAAAGATCTACAGGTGTTTCTTAAAGGCTGTCAGGTTTGAGAACCTGTCTCAGTTCAAAGGAGAGACTAAGGGTGAGTTCACAGACACTGGGACACCCAGGTAGCAAGGAAAGGCCCTTCACATCCCATTCACTGAGCTTCCCTCCCATAATGGGTTGGACTGTGCCCCCAGAGGACTCAGGAATCAGTGAACCCAGGTCTCACCTTCCAGGCAAAGTCAGGAATATCCTCGAGGGACCTGAAGGTCACACAGCTCTGGTTCCAGCTGTTACCTTGAGGCAAAGAGCAGTAGGTGAGGACGCCAAAGGAGAAGGTCTGTGTCTGGAACCATGCAGGGGAGATGAGGCTGAGGGCTGAGATGCAGGTAAGGGACAGCCCCAGAGCTGCCCACACGCTGCTCACCATTAGGGAGTATTGCTGACCTAGGGGTCAACCAGCAAGATTAGTAATAGAGATCACCAGGACAAGAGGAGAAACAGGGACTGGCAGATCGTCCTGACCCAGCCAGGAATCTGATGCTAAGGACAGACGTTAGGACATTAGCCCCCCTTGAGTCTGGTGATGCAATGGAGGTACTAACTATAATTGGGTGGGGGAGACACTTTGCCGTAACAATTTCTGGAAGTAAAATAGAATAAATGTTAGCGCTTACAGACCTTTGAACAGATCTCTACCTTCTGCATGGTAAATCATCATCACTGGTCCATACAGGACTCCTCTCATGTTTCATTCATTCATTCATTTGTTCATTCATTCATTCTTTCTGCCCATCAAGCCTTCTCTATCCAAAAGGGCTGCTTCTACTGGGGTTGGGGGGAGCATGCCTTTTTAAAATTCACACACAATGCTGTTTCTAGCAGCCACCCTGTCCAACAGCTAATGCCTCTTAGTCAATAAGACTTTTTTTGTTTTTGAGATGGAGTCTCACTCTGTTTCCCTGGGTAAAGTGCTGTGGCATCATAGCTCACAGTAGCCTCAAACTCTTGGGCTTGACCAATCCTCTTGCCTCAGCCTCCCTAGTAGCTGGGACTAAAGGCATGTGCCACTACACTCAGCTAGTTTTATTTTTTTTCTATTTTTTGTAGAGATGAGATTTTGATCTTACTCAGGGTGGTCTCCAACTCCTGAACTTAAGCCATCCATCTGCCTTGGCCTCCCAGAGTGCTAGGATTACAGGTGTGAGCCACCACACACAGCCCAGTAACACTTTTAATTCTTTTATGTTATCATTTCGTTTGGGGGTATTTTTGCAAAATTGGTGTTGTATAGTACATGTGCACTTCTCATGTGTGTAAATGGCATTATTTTATGTTTTACCTTTGGGTTCCTACTTTTGGCACTAAGCATGTTTTTAGGATTTGTGTTGTCACAAGTATACCTAGTCTACCCCTCCTGGTCTGGGTTCCTATAGGCAGAGCCCAAGAGTAACACCTCAAAATATCATCATCTTAGGTGTTAGGATTTCATCACATAAATTTTGGGGAGAACATAAATATTCAGTCCACCAATGACATGTCTGAGGTTGGAAGGCAGTTTGGTAACAGCAAGCCTGTCATTGATGGCCAAAAGGGAAGCCCCAAGGGATAAGCCTGCCCAAAGACTCCCAGGGTCGAAAGCTGCTACCCGCCAACTATGCCAAGAGCATCTACTCAAACTTCCCAGACCACTGGGTTATAACCTTGGGTTTCATTTTATCAATCAGCACTTACATGTGGCAAGAATTCTTGGTTTGGAGGTCAACCAGCTCCTCTACTGTTTATTTACCAGCTGTGGGACCTGGTACAATTTCCCCATAGCTGTGGGCCCCCATCTGTACAACATTATAAATCTCTGGGGACAGAGAGTATTGGATTGAATCACCAAGCAGAGTGATGTGGTGGAAAGAGGCAGAGAGGCCCAAATGGTTCCCTTTCCAGCTGTGTAAGATAAGAAAATGAGAATACTCGTCATTTACCACTCGCTGGAAAATGGGAGTGGGAGTTGTTGTGAAGGTTCTAGGGAATAAAATGCAAGTGTGTTGCAGGGGGAGGGGCAGAGATAAGCCTGGGAAGGCAGGTCAGGGTCAAGTTGCATGGGCTTTTTACTCCTGCATTAGAAAAACATCCTGGCTGCTTGCCAGCAAGTGAAATGTGCTCCCTTGAGTGAGAGAGGATGGTTTTTTTGTTGTTGTTTTTTCCCCCTTCTATACTCAAATCAGCCTCTCCTTTCGGCTGGCAGCATCCCGAGGGGTGTAATTCCAGCCAGGAAGCTGGGGAGAGCTGAATACACCTAGGCTGGTGGTTTTGCCTCTCTCAGGCTGCACCAGTGGCCCTCTCGGCGTTTCTGACCTTGAAAGGAGTTTTGTTCTTTAGATAATGCTCAATGTCACCTGGGAAAATCATGCCAACCGTCCAGCTGCCCAGAAACCTAAATGAGGCACAATAACCTGAAACCATATCCGGCCAAGCTCCAATTAGCTGGAATCCACCTAAGGGAAGCTCAAAAGGGACTGAATCTTTTCTCCTCCTGCTCAGTACTTTTGGTAGCAATCAGCAATTCCTGAGCACTCACCGGGCCCCAGTCTAAGCACTTTCAGTGCCTCTTGCATGTAAGCCTCATGGCCACCTGATGAATACAGATTCTGTTATTCTCATTCCCATTTTACAGATGATAAAACTGAGGCTCAGGAAGTGAGCGGTGAGCTGGGACTCAGGCAATCAGGCTCCAACTCTGGACCCTAAGCCCAAAGTGATATTAAAGTTTAATTTAAAAGCCAAATACCCCAGTGGTTTCCCGGAGCGTTCCAAGGTTACAACATGATCAGCTCTCCCACCTGTTCTGTCCAGGGGGCATGGATGGTTGGAGAAGGGTCATAGTCAGCTATAGGCAGAATCTTAGGAGGAGAACTGTGATTCAGTTTAGAAGTGGCTGGTATGGGGACTTGGGCTTCCATGTACTTGGTTGTAAAAAGACCAGATTGCTCATTCATTTCTTCCACTTTGACGTGCCCAGCCCAGTGTGACTCCTTAACCCTCCACCCCTGGGAATACACTGATGACCAGAACATAGTCCCTGACTTTAAGGAGCTTAGAGTTTTGTGGGCAAGACAGACAAATAGGATATAATAAGATGTCCATCAATACATCCATATATCCATCCATCTATCCAACAAATGCTTACTGAGTATCTACTATGTTCCAGGCACTGTTCTAGGTGCTGGGGATTGGAACTTACATTCTAGCAAAGGATAGAGCCAGCCAGGAGATAAACAAGTCAGTCATATATACTATATGTTAATGGTGCTCTAGAGAAAAATGAAGCATGGAGGCAGAGAGTGAGTGATTGGGAAGTGGTCATGGAGAACCACAGAAAAGGTGAACTTTGAGCAGGGACCTAAGGTGGGGCATAAGGGAGGGAGCCACACAGAGATGGGGGAGGAATAGTCCAGGCTGGAGAAGGAGCAGATGCAAAGGCCCTGGGGTGAGTGTGTGCTTGGCATAGCGGAGGATGGAAAGGATGAGGACTGAGAGAGTAGAGGGCCTTGCAGGCTTTGGCTTTTAACTTCAGAGTGAGATGGGGAGTCTGTAGACAGTTTTGGGCAGGGGTATGACATGATCTGCCTTAAGTTTTAGAGAGACCACTCTGGGTCAAGCACAGTGGCTCATGCCTACAATTCCAGCATTTTGAGACACTGTGGTGGGAGGATCACTTGAGGCCAGGAGTTTGAGGCTACAGTGAGATATGATAACACAACTGCAGCCTGAGTGACAGAATAAGACTGGCTCCTGAGTGGGGAACAGGTAGAAGGGAAGGCTGGAGAAGCATTCAGAAAGCTACTTGTCAGTCAGGTGAGCCACCAGGCTAGATGAGACTAGGGGGCAGGAAAGGCAGGCAAGGGAAAGGGGGTCAGATTCTGAATCTATTTTGAAGGACTAAGATCAAGTTGACCAGACTTACTGACAGAGTGGCTCTGGGCATGAGGGAAAGCAAGGAGGCAAGCACGCCTCCAGGGCTCTTGACCTGGGCACTTGGGACCATGGAGCCACCATTATGCCACCTGGGGAACCTGCAGGAGGAACAGATTTACTAGGGGAGGGGGGAGATTCTGAGTGTGACATTGTGTGAGTCTAGCTTGAGTTGTGTATTTTTGCCTGCCTTTTGATCAACAGGTACATACAGGCATATGCCTCTGGTATGCATGTATGTATGTACCTGTATGAATCAACAGATATATATAGGCACAGCTCCATACCACAGGAAAGCCCAGGTGATGCTGGGGGCAGGCACGGAGAAAGGGCACCTGATCCAGTCTGGGGGTCCAGGTGTTGTCCA